TTTTAATCTAAATCTGTTCAATATCACAAGTTGATTCTTTTTAAGGACAAACTGTCAATATAATGAAAAATCTGGTAGTTTATCATAAAAATACTGTATTAATTTAGTTTTTGAGTTGGATAGGCTTAGCAAGTATAAACCATATCACATCTTTTAAGACTTGTAATCTGAGAACACAGAAGGATTAGACCCTCTAGGGAAGTTTATTAGACAGAAGCTGATACCAAAGTTTTAATTTCCTGGGAACAGTTTCCTCCTACAATTGGCTACAACTGAAGCTTCGTGAATTTCCAAGCTGTTTTTTAGTCCACCAACAACTCATTACTCACAAAATCGGTGGTTTTATTCTGAAAACCCTTGAAAACTTTTTAATAAAATAAAATAATAATGTACTAATGCTGTCTCTGTGTAAGGGAAACTCTGAGAAAGTAGTAATTGAATATCCAAAGCTTTTAACCAAATTCAAGATGGCTACTACAGCTAAATAGCCTTTGCAAACATTAAAATAGCTTTAAATCAGTCACTTTCGCAGAGAATGAGCTCCAGTTTCATTTGATAGTAGCTGAGTCAATCTTACATTGCACACTGTGTAAGATCTTGTGAAGTTGAACAAGATTTTGGATAATATATTTTGATGAAAAAAGCTTTTACATAATTTTAATTTGGGATGATATTGGTCCTCTTTTAATTTTGTTTTGTCTTACAGAATCTCTTTGATTGATGTGAATTAGAATAAACAAACCTATTTTTGTAATCTCGTTTTGTGCTGCAACACACTGAAGATCATGAATACACTGAAAAAAGAACTGTTGAATTTACCTAACCAAGTTATTTTAAGTGATTCCATTAAACCTAGCTGTTCAAAAGTAAATAAAAATATACATTCAAATATGCTGTTATGTTAAAGACCAATTCCACTCATTTTTCCTTTAATATCTTTTTAATGGTGAATGCCTTGTGAGTTATCTTTGTTGGGAAATGAGCTCTCTCACTCCTGTTTCAGGAACTAGAAGTGAGCAAGGGGAAAGGTGATCAGAAAACAGCCGAATTTGGAGTCGTATTTCCTGATTTTCAAACATCTCTTCTAACATCAATTCTATTCTACCACTGACTCCATTCGATCTGCAATTTTGATGTTTCATCTCCACAAACTATAGCACAAGCTTGAAGGAGTTCTGCCATGTTGTGGAGTCGCTAATGCTAACAGGTAGCTTCTTTTAGCTGAGACACAAATCAATAGCAGCAACTTCTGAAATTTTCCATTCTTGAAAGCAGGGATGGTCGTGTATGTTGATTCTTCAGCGTGAAATATTGGACTTGTGGCATTAGTGCCTATGAATAGGGTCAGATGCGTGTGTCTCGCATAGGGATGCAACGATACCACTTTTTTCCAAACCGATACGATACCGATACTTGGATCTGAGTACTCGCCGACACCGTTTACCGATACAGATACTTCTACCACACCAAAAAAAATGCAATGAATTGGAATACAGATTTTATTTTCTTCTTATTTCAATAGGAAAAGACTGTGAGGTAGATAAAAAGTAGTATAAGTGATCACAAAACTAAAATATTAGGTGAACAGAAATGACAAGTTACTGTGAAGTCACTTTCAAGCAACTGCATTGGTATCAGTTACTGGTATCTGTTAACTTTTACCAATACCGATACTGGTATCAGTATCTGTATCGGCACCGATACCGATACCAGTATCGTATCAGTGCATCCCTAGTCTCGCACTCAATGCGTAAAAGTAGTCAGCCCTGACCGACAGCCTTTCCTGGTCGTGAGCCAAGATGGGTGAGTCCATGAATGAAAATTTATGACGTGACATAGATCTGTGTGGCTTTTACTATCCAAGCATTACCCCATTTATTTTCTATCAGGAAATGAGGTAGAAGACTACTTTCACGTTCAGCCTGCTTGTGAAAGTCAGAATGACCGGTAGTATTTAAAACATAATAAGCAAAAAAAATGGGTTCTTATTGAACTTACTCTTTAATGTAACACTTAATAACATTCCCACTTCTTCCTCCTAATGGTTGAGAGTGGAATTAAGACTGTCGAAAGTAACCCTGGGCAGCCTGTTGTGGCTAGCGCTAATAACCAGCTAACGCAAACCAACTCAGACTAAAATAAGCCACAAATTAAAAGGATCCACATTGATTGACAAAAATATCGTTACTTACATCCAGTAGCAAAAGAGCCAGCTTACCATCATTCCGTGATTTCTTAGACTCCTTTGGCTCTCTCAGTCAAACTTAGGCCGAGCCAATGGTCACTCCAATTTTAACTCTTTGCTTCATCTGCAAAGGCATTAATTTCTTTCTTTTACTTCCAGGCTCTGCCATGATACCAAAGTAAACCTAACTTTTTTGTTCTCTTTTTGCACTTTTTGTTAATGGTTGGCAAACAGAAAAAGCTAGCTGCTATCTTTCATATGACCTATCAGCTCAGTACAAAGCTGTTGCCATAAAGTCGGTTCCCACAGGTGCCCAAACTGCTTAAGTTATTAATTGCAGATGTGGTCAGCCGAGGGCTGCAGGTGCTGCTCCATGTGAAGCTGATCAACTTTATGGCTCGTGAATCATTGAAACCAGTTTGAAAGCAATATCCTAAAGCAGGGGTTCTCAGTTCTGATCTTGGAGGGCCGATATCCAGCATGTTTTAGTTTTTTCCTACTTCAACACACCTGATTTTAGTCAACAGGTGATCAACAGGCTTCTGCAGAGCTTGATGAGTTGCTGAACTGGTGATTTAACCATTGAGTCAAGCGTGTTGAAGCAGAGGAGCAACAAAAACAAGCTCGATACCCACCTTCCAGTAACAGAATTAAGAACATCTGGTGTTAGAAACTCTTTAGTGTTGCTTTAAACGTAAATGCATGTAACTCTTTATATTTAAACAACTAGGTTTAGTGGAACCAGCTGACACAACTTGGTTAAGTAAATTGAACATTTATTTTTTTTTGAGTGTATAATGTTTAATATTATTAGATTTTCAGATAGAAAACATCAGTGGTAACAATTTGTATTTCTTGATTAAAGATTTATTTAAAAACTGATATATTTGTAGACTTTTACTATTTATAGATGCTCATTTCTAAGAGTTAGACACCTTAAAATAGTGTGTCACGAAATGCAAAAAGAGACAACTAAACCTCCTGGTCTCAGAAGACTGTGTACTTCTCTTTCATGTGTTTGGAAATAGACGGACAAAGTCTCATCTTTCAGCTGAACAGTACGAGTCTGTTTCTACCTAGAAGTTAATTCCAAATAAAACATGATCCAGTAAAGATTAGAAGGTCAGAGAAGCGAGAACAGGCAGAGGAGACGTGGATGTACTGTTTGCTGTACGACTGGAGTCATGATAAACAGTAAATACTCTACAATCTGAGCAATGCTCCAAAGTGATTTTCGATGTGTGCATGTAGTGTGTGTGTGTGTGTGTGCATGTAGTGTGTGTTCCTGCATGTGATGCACCCCCCTGTGTGTGTCGATCAGCAGGTTAGCTGTGCCCTCCACTGGCTGACAGAAAACACTGAACAGCTTCACTTCATCAGAACACTGATCAAATTACTCAGCAGACCAAATGCTGTAACATTATCCGAACCCAGAGCTCAGATTTAAACGTCCTGACGTTTTTGATTGAAAAAGAACCAACACTTGTAGTTCTGTAAACTCAGCTTGAATCAAATGCACTAACTAAACTATGAGACATTATAACAGCAGCATGAACTTCTATGTCTGATAAGGTATCTCTAAGCATCCAATGTTTGTTAAATATCACTTTATACTCAAAAAGATTTAAATGTATGCAAAATATCCTACAAATTAAAAGTTTTTTTTTTACAATTTGTGCAGGTTTTAAAGGTTGTGCTAGAGTTTTTTTTACAGTTTTACATTTGTCCTGTCCAGTACTTGAACATTTTCAGGAAAATTATTTTGTTTTTGTTTTTAAAGCCACTTAAACCTCACCTGAGAGTCAAAGTCAGTTAAAGAAACCAGCTTTGTTTCAAACAGAACAGAAAAATTAGCAAAGAACAAAAATCTTAGCAGCAGTCAAACAGAAAAGTCACTATTTGTTCAATTTCAGTCTAGAAAACAATTCCTTAAATAACTCAGTCTGACTAATAACATTGTATTTTAGCTCAAAAAATGTGGGTCCTGGTTTGTTATTAACTAGAAACTTGAGTAAGCAAGTTGCTCTTTCCCCTTCATTTTACTATTCATCTGTAGATTATTTTTAATGTGTGGCAAATTTTTACTTTACACAGATCTTGTGATTTAATCTACATTTTGTATATTTTAAAGCATTTTTTGTCTTCAGTGCAATATTTATATAGAATTTATCATATTTTTGACTCAACTGACTTTTATTTTGATCAAAAATAGTGTGATTGAAGTTCCACTAAATATAAATGTGCCTTTTGTAAAATCTATGCATGCTTAAGTGTGCACTTGTTAATCGTTGGTTTATTAATAATACAGCTACATATGGATAGTAAACACTTGTTATGATAGTATAAAAATGGATTGTTTTGTACATTAATCACAGAATTAGACCCTCCATATCCAACTGGTCCAAAACCAGTAAAAACCAGGATAAGATAATCAGACCATCAGCAGATGTTTGTCTCTCAATCCACCCCATACGCTGCAGCTAACATGCTAGCAGCTGCTAAGAGATAAGATAACTGTTATTATAATTCAGATGAAATAATAAATTTGGATTATTCATTACACATTTGAGCATATTTTTAAACTTTTCTTGCATATCTGTAAAAAATTTTTTAAAAAAACGTTGAAATGAGTGAAGCCTACATTCGATTAAGAGAGGTCACTTATACAGGTGCATCCTGCCCCTATACCCCAGTGCATGCTGGGAAATCCACCATCTGGATTGGATAAAATCTTCACAATTAATGGATGGAGGAAACACTGACACAACGGAAGAAAGAAGACTAGTGCTTTATTTTGGTTGTATTTGACATAAAGATGGCGCTGCGCAGTTCTCCTGTTAGCATCCTTGTTTGTAGTTTTAGTGGTGATGGTCAGCAGCCACACCCCTTCTTCTCTCAGTATAAATTTGAGTGTTTGAAGGAGGAGCTGCAGCTCTTCAGCTGCACCGCTTAAGTTCAAGAGAAAAGCTCTCAGACAGCAGCATGCTGCCACCGTGAGTAATCTTCATCATACTGCTCATTTTTACTGGTTTTACTGGTTGTTATGGTGCTGATTACAGATACTGTGCTGTATGTTACTGGTAGTATAAGTTTTAAACTGCCAGTTCCTGGTCATGTTTCAGCTTTGATGCAATTTCAATATAATATTGATCTTTGATTTATTTTTTTTATTGGTGTTGATGGTGTTAGTTATTCCAATATCACAAAACACTTTTAATTGTCTAATTTTTCAACAACTATTTTATCAAAATTAACGAATTTATGAAATTATGCAAATGTTTAATGATAAATTACCTTTACAGACTGAAACACAACACACGTGTGCTCTAAATCCTAAAAAGGTTTTTAATAAATGTATAAAACAATATGTAGTAAATATGTTCTTCTTGTGTGACAATTTTTGCCTCATTCTGACTGAACATTTTTGACTCGCACGTCATTTAACCAATCAGATCGTTTGACAGTTAAAACATTGATTGCTGAAATTGTTGGCTAATGATTAAATAATGTATTTACTGATCCCAATAAGTGATGTGTATTAAACTGATTTATACTGTATTATTAACATGTTTTTGCTGCATTTTAATCAGAAATCTACTGACAGTCTCGATCATTGTCCTTCTGGCAACAGCGGTCTCTACGGCTCCCGTGGAAGGTACATATTCCACTTTGATTTTCCAATCTGTTTTTGTTTATTTGTTTTTTTCAATATAATTTCTTTCCTGTAGACCTGAGATTTTGTGTTGTCTTCCAGAGAAGGAGCTGGAGGAGGGAGAGACTGAGGTCACGGAGATGGTGGAGGGGGAGTTGTCTGAGGAGGAGGAGGGTAGGCCTATGTGTGTGTGTGTGTGTGTGTGTGTGTGTGTGTGTGTGTGTGTGTGTGTGCGTGTGTGCGTGTGTGCGTGTGTGCGTGTGTGTGTGCGTGCGTGCGTGCGTGCGTGCGTGCGTATGTGTGTGAGAGAGATAGTTGGGGGGTGGAATGTGCTTTTATTTTGAAAGAGCAGCTTCATTACCTAGAATATAGATAGATAAATTAAGTTTTTATTTGTACCTGTAAAAACATAACTGGTTAATTTAAACTTAAATTAACTAAGAAAATTAGGAAAATATTCAAAATCAGGGATTTTATCTGCAATAAATTAATTTTAGGTCAACTGTCTTGTTTTTTTTAATGTTTGAAAATAAATGTCTATGATTATAATTTATTAAAATGTTATTTTCCTCAACAGTTATAATCAATGTTTACAAATGAATAAATAACCCCTCAAATGCTAATTTTTTACCAAAGCTACATTAAATTAATTTAATTTATTTCTTTCCCTCACATGTCCTGATTTATTTAACATTTTTGCCTGTTTCATTATTTTATTGTTTACTTTTGGTGTTTTTTTTTTTGTTTTTTTTTTATCTGACGTGAAGCATCATTTGATTTCTTGAAAGGCACTTTATATAAACTTATTTATTAAAAAATAAACAATAAATTAACATTAAACATCATCAAATAAAGCACCTAAAAAAAGAAATAAAACATTCCTCATACATTTAACACCTGAATACTTAAATAAACGTTGTTAAACTTCCTTTAATTAGAGGAATAAATGTTGGATTTGTTTCCTTTTCAGATGATGATGATGACTCCAAGAGTCAGGATAAGATAAAGGGTGAGAGGCTCAAACACACAATGACCTTCACCATATAAACCTGCATAAACTGGAATTTAACAGTGAAATTAAACATTTGAATTTCTATTTCCAATAAAATATGTTTCACAAAAAGCTTATTCTAATCCTGTCTGATGGTTAGTAAAAAAAAAAACAATTTTTAAATTAAACTGCTAATTTTTAAACAAAACGTTTTGAACATATTTATATTTATTGTAATATTTTTATGAACAAATAAAATTTTTATAAATATTTATAAAAATGTTTTCTTCAGGATTAGTTTTCCACTGATCTTTTGCGTTATCTTTAATAAACTCCATGTTTCTTTCCGATGGAAACAGAAGGTTTATTCATGCTGAACACCTGATCCTCTGTCCACCTGATCCTCCCCCATCCTCCCCCATCCCGTCCCCTCCGCAGCAGCTCAACAGACCACCATGTCAGCAGCGCCAGCCGGAGGTTCAGGTTAGTCAACCCTTATCAGGTGTTTCCCTCCTGAGAAGTTTGCTTGTTCCAGTTTGGGCTCATATTTAATCCAGTTTATCTGACTTCTATTCTGACCTGGATTACCCTCGGATTCGGTCTGGTCCACATCCTGGAGTTTCTGCCCAGTAATGCATAAAGTGAAAGGTCTCCTATTGCAGGAGGAGGCTGGGGGTCAGAACTAAAGCATTAAGTGTTGAAAGTAATCTGAAGAACACAATAAATCCTGAAACTGTTACATTAATGTTTTTCCAATTCCAATCCAATTTTATTTATATAGCGCATTTTAAAACAGCATGCCAGCTGACCAAAGCACTGTACAGAGTTAAACCTAAAAAGCCATTTAAAATACACATACATACACATTAAACACAGATAAAAGCTGTCATAAAATAGAAACACCTAAAAACAATACAAATGTATAAAACAGCCAATAAAAGAGAAGTCAATAAAAACAGAAGTCAGTACTGGGTCAGTTACTGGGGCGACGGTGGCACAGGAGTTAAGTGCTCGCCTTTCAATCGGAGGGTTGCAGGTTCGAGCCCCGCTCAGTCTGTCGCTGTCGTTGTGTCCTTGGGCAAGACACTTAAACCACGTTGCCTGCTGGTGGTGGTCGGAGGGACTGGTGGCGCCAGTGCTCGGCAGCCTCGCCTCTGTCAGTGTGCCCCAGGGCAGCTGTGGCTACTTTGTAGCTCATCCCCACCAGTGTGTGAATGTGTGTGTGAATGGGTGAATGACTGATAGTGTTGTAAAGCGCCTTGGGGGGTTCCAGGACTCTAGAAGGCGCTATGTCAAATACAGGCCATTTACCATTTAAAACAGAAGAGCCACAGCATAAAAGACCGATCATTGACCAAAAGCTAAATTAAAGAAATGTGTCTTCAGGCTGGATTTAAACTGTGCCAGTGAAGAAGCCTGGCGTACCACCAGAGGGAGTGCATTCCAAAGTCTTGGAGCTGCAAAGGCGAAAGCACGCTCCCCACGAGCTTTATATTTAATTTTAGGGACTATGAGCAAAAGATGATCAGCAGACCTTAGTGACCGGGGAGAGATGTAGGGGGTGAGCAGCTCTGACAGGTATAAGGGGGCTAGACCATTCAGGGCTTTGTAAGTAAAAGTAAGAACCTTGTGTTGAATCCGAAATTGCACCGGAATCCAGTGTAGATCCGCCAGAATGGGAGTAATGTGGCAGCGTCTATTAGCATTAGAAAGAAATCTGGCTGCAGCATTCTGGACTTTCTGCAGAAGATTTAGGACAGATACATTTACACCAATTAGAACAGAGTTGGAAAAATCGAGTCTGGAAGTGATAAATGCATGAATCACTTATTCTAAGTGTGGCCTCTTAAGAATGGGCTTTAGTCGGGCAAGGCGACGAAGCTGGAAGAAGCAGGATCGAACAGTGGCATTAACATGTGCACTCATTGATAAGTCAGCATCCAGTTTAACCCCAAGGCTGGTCACACTTGAATTTAGGGTTAGGGGGGAGAGATCAAAGGCAGCAGAAGTATGCAGATGATGTTTTGGTTTGAACAGAATGGCCTCAGTCATAAGCCCCATTCCCACCTGTACCGGGTCGGCCCGGGCCGGGTAGCCCCAGTCGGCCCCAGCCTGGCCCGGTTGATTCCACACATCCTTGCCTTAAGCCCATGTGGGCTGATTCTACCCACCAATCAGAGGCTTGCTCTAATGGAAGGTGTGAATGGGCTGATTCTACCCACCAATCAGAGGCTTGCTCTAACGGAAGGTGTGAATTTGCTGTCAGCAGTGGGCGTGTTGGCCCTGGTCGGCCTGAAGCAGTACCCCTCGGGAAGAGGGCCGAGAATGAGCCTTGGTTGGCCCGGGAAAATTCCAGGCCACCCAGATATGTAAACAACCTACGCTACCCGGCCCGGGCCGACCCGGTACAGGTGGGAATGGGGCTTTATTGTCATTAAACTTCAAGAAATTGGAAGCTAACCAGGTTTTAATTTCTGAGAGACAATCTGAGAGCTGGGTAATGGAACTTTGTTGATTTAAAGCCATATAAATTTGACAGTCATTGGCGTATATGTGATAGTGTAGGCCGTGTTTAGCAATGACATTTCCCAGTGGCAAAAAATAAATAGAAAAGAGGAGTGGACCTAGAATGGAGCCCTGGGGAACTCTCCAGGGGAGTGGGACAAAAGGAGAAGAGCAATCGCCTATGTGGATGCTGTGTGATTTTTTATAATCAAATAAATAAGAAAAACACACAAATGCTCAATGTTAACGTTAACTCAAAAGAAACCTATGTATTATAAGTTAGAGACAAAAACTTTCTGTTTTTATAAAGTAAAACTCTCAAGCGAAGATTTCTATGACTCAGGTGTTTATTTTTTACAGGTGTTCCCCCAAATATTCAAGATCTGAGTGGTGGGTTTACTTTTTTATGTTTCAAAATCTTTGAAAAAGTCCCATGGAGACGGGTCCATTGAAACTACCCTGCTCACAAAAATTAAAGGAACACTTTAAAGAAACACATTAGATACATCAGATCTCAATATGAAGTTGGATATCTATACAAGTAACGACAGGGCAATGTCTTAGGAACAAAAGGATGCCAGGTCTTTTAATGGAAATAAAAGTTATCAGCCTACAGAGGGCTCAATTGTGTTGACACCCTAAAATCGGAGTGAAATGAAGATGTGGCAGGCTAGTCCTTTATTTCAAAAACTTAATTTCTGCAACTCAAATTGCCTTTCAGTATCTTGTGTGGCCCCCACGAGCTTGTGTGCATGCTTGACAATGTCGGGGCATGTTCCTAATGAGACAACGGATGGTGTCTTGTGGCCTTTCATCCAGATCTGTGTGAGGGCATCCCTGAGCTCTTGTACAGTCTGAGGAGCAACCTAGCACCGCCTAATGGACCGAAACATAATGTCCCACAGATGTTCTATTGGGTTTAAGTCAGGGGATCGTGAAGGCCATTCAATTGTTTCAATTCCTTCATCCTGCAGGTACCGCCTGCATACTCTTGCCACATGAGGCCGGGCGTTGTCGTGCATTAGGAGAAAACCAGGACCTACTGCATCAGCGTAGGGTCTGACAAAGGGTTCAAGGATTTCATCTCGATACCTTATGGCAGTCAGAGCACCATTTCCTGGGCAGTAGAGGTCTGTGCGTCCCTCCATGGATATGCCTCCCCAGACCATCACTGACCCACCACCAAACCTGCCATGTTGAACGACGTTGCAGGCAGCATAACACTCTCCTTTTTTTTCTCCAGACTCTTTCACATCTATCACAGGTGCTCAGGGTGAACCTGCTCTCGTCTGTAAAAAGTACAGGGCGCCAGTGGCAGACTTGCCACTTCTGGTGTTCTTGAGCAAATGCCAGTCGAGCTCTACAGTGCTGGGCAGTGAGCACAGGGCCCACTACAGGACGTCGGGCCCTCAGGCCATCTTCATGAAGTCTGTTCCTGATTGTTTGGGTAGAGACATTCACACCAGTGGCCCTCTGGAGGTCATTCTGTAGGGCACGAGCAGTGCTCAGCCTGTTCCGCCTTGCACAAAGGAGCAGGTATCGGTCCTGCTGATGGGTTGTGGACCTTCTACGATCCTGTCCAGCTCTCCGAGAACAACCGCCAGTCTCCTGAAACCTTCTCCATGTTCTGGAGATTGTGCTGGGAGACACATTAAACCTTCTTGCTGCAGCACGTGTGGATGTGCCATCCTGGAGAAGTTGGACAACCTGTGCAACTTCTGTAGGGTTAAGGAATTGCCTCATACTGCCAGTAGAGAGCCAAAACCAGCACGAGTGGAAAACCAGCCAAAAAAGATCAAGAGGGAGAACCTTGAAATGGCCTCTACATGTTAAACCAGTCCTGTTTTGAGGGTTTTGTAATTGTTGCCACTTTAGTGCACCTGCCGTTAAGTCCATGAACACCAATACAGCTGAAAGTGATTAACAATGCCCTCAGCTGCTTAATCAACCAGGAAATTATCAGACAAGTTTAACTGATTTCATGCCAGGCCCAATAAAAAAAGTGTTCCTTTAATTCTTGTGAGCAGTGTATGTTGCAGCGGAGTCGTGTTTAATGTCTTAAAGTTAATTTTTTAGAGGGTTTTGTGTAAAACATTAAAATAATTACAGAAACATTCTGTAAAAACATCAGATCATGTTGGGATTATATGTGATCAAATTTTAGCATATGTTTATTATTTCAGCATATTTTGTTTTAGGGATTATGTGTCCATATTACCAATAATCTGATGTTTGTGGTTTATTCCCAGCTTCCAGTGGACTGTCAGTAGAGAGGGGACCACATGAGGGAGCAGCAGGAGGCTCACCAGGTAAAAAGCATTCAGAGAAACATCGACAGATTTCTGTTGCTCTGAGATCAGCGCTATATAAACAGATTAACGGGAATGACTTGTAGTCAGAATAAGATTTATTTTTAAATAGTGGAGTTGGTAATCTGAGTGTGTTCCAGTTTGTTTACTAGTTATGTGTTTGACAGTTTGGTTTATTGTTTGTTGATGTTTGGTGAGTAGTATTGGTATTTCTAGTGTTTAGTGGATATTTGGCAATTTTTTGGTTTTGGTCCATTGTCTGTTGGTGTTTGGTAAATTTTGATTGATCCTTGGTGGATGTTAATAACATTTTTGGCTTGTTTGTTTGCTGATGCTTTCTTGGTGTTACGCTGGTGGTTTAATGGCATTTTAGGCATGATGGGTTGGTGTTAGGGTTAGGGTTAATATCTTATTGGTGTGTGATGACTGGTTGATGGTTGTATTTGTTTATTCAGCAGGTTTAAAGTTAATGTTAAAAGTTATAGTTTGGTGTTTACCTGCTTATTTGTTATATTGGGAACATTTAATTTACTAATAAATGGAAAGTATTATATCTATGATTTATTGTCTTTGTATTAATATTTATTTTATTACACAGATAGAATATTTAGTTGAACTTTATATTTGAATGAAAATAAGCATAAATAAATCAATGCTTTTATTTTATTTAACAGCTTCCATGTAAACACTTTCTTCCTGTTTTTCAGGTCATGGAGGTGATATTTCCTCTGTAGATCCAGCAGGTAACAGTTACTCCTGTTAGGCTCACCAAGACCATGATAAACTTGCTAAATACCCCTGTTTGCTACAGCACATGAACCCAGTTAGATGCACGACTAAAGGAATTCACTGATTTGGGGCCAAAAGGAATCAGCTGTTAGTTTATGGATGATAAAACATCTATGTGACATAAAATTAATTTGTAATGGATGTTTTTGTGTTTTCAGCAGCAGGACATCCTAGCAGCTCATCAGGTAAAACTTCCAATTTATCACTAAATCAAAAAATTGCAACTGCTGTTTTACATAATTAACATTTTTCTAGTTTTATTGCATCCTTTTCCTTAGGCTTAGTTGTGAAACTGTCAACAAGGAAATTGCTTCCCAAAAGCTCCAGTTTATGTTTAATTCATCAAATTTGACTTTAAAAATATTTTCTGAAAGAATTTTTCTATTTAAATCAAAATTATGACTCAATTAGTTAACTTTAGTTTATATTCCTTGAAATAGCAAGAAAACAAACTTATCTAAATTTCTTGTTCTCAGGTTCTTCAGGTTCTGCATTTCCGTCAGGTGCTTCGGTCTCTGCAGGTTCTGCAGACTCTGCAGGTTCTTTGGTTTCTGCAGGTTCTGTAAGTTCTGCAAGTTCTATAGCAGTTGATCTCTCCGGTGTCTCTGCAGGTCAAACTCATCCAGCAGGTAAACAACTGTGTTTTTGAATACATTTTCCTGTTTTTAGTACATATTCTGATTCCTAATGATAACTGTTTTATAAGGTGTAAATAAAATCTTTAGTGTAGTTTAATTGTTGTGTTTTTAGGAGCCAAAGATCTACCAGCATCTTCTCATACAGGAACAAATGGTAAAAGATCTGAAACAAGACGCTGTTCTGTTCACATCACCCAAGCAGGAGATGATTGGTTTATTCTCAATTGAGCTCCAACCAAACACCTACCTACTGGTTCTGTGTAAAGGACAGTTGTATTATGTGGAGGTCAAAGGGGGAGTTGGCGGGGCTATGGCCCAACAGATGGATTAACTAATATATTAGTGACTTGATTTATGGTCTGTACATGTCTGCTAATAACATGCACAATTAAATATAACAGAAAACTAATAGATCTGTTTAGTCGTGATGGAAATAAATTCACCTGCAGGAACTGAGACGTTTGAGTTTTTCAGATGACAATATTCTTCTTTATTTTTGTTTGTAGGTGCTGTTGGAGCAGACTTGGGGTCCAACGGTGAATATAAAAAAAAATTACCTTTTAAACATTAATTATGCATCATACGCTGCACACATAGTTTGTATATTTCATGCAGGAAACAAAGGTTCAATGTTTCAGGGACTTCAACTGAGACTCAAAACATTTAAAATCAGTAAAATCCTTTTTAAAAATGTTTTGCAGGAAATGGTCAGAAGCTGCTGAATGGAGGAGGGGGAGGGGCCGGAGTCGACAGTCAGACAGGTAAGGGACGAAGTGAACAGGTCACCATGTCTTGACATCTCAACAGTGTTTTTTTATATCTGTCTCTGTCATTTTTATGTTTGCCTCTCAGGAGATTTGGGATCATTAGGGGGAGGGGTTTCACCCCTGGATTATTCAGGTAACTAGTTCTCATTCAGCTGTGTGGTCTGGTGAACCAAAACCAACTGGATCCTGATCAGATTCTGTTTATTAGAAACACAAACGCAATCTGCAGAAAATATAAATAATAGGAACAAACTTTATTTATTGATCCCTAGTTTGATTAAATTCTCTGCAGCTGAATCTCTTCAGTTGCTGAAATGCTGAAACTTTACATTTTTAAAAACTGTTTATGGCGAGTCTTTTAATGGTGTTTATCCATGTGCAACTGAATCTTCTTCTCAAGGAATCAACGATCCATCCAGCCATGACTACCTGCTAGGTCTTATTGGTAAGTCGTAGTTTACACCGGTTACTTTTTATCAGTTACTGAAGCGCCAAGCCAGAACTTAACTATGTGCAAGGTTAAAGTGGACCCAGGATTTAAACCACATTTTGTTGTTGAATAAAGGCAGCTTGGGGTGTCTAATGTAGCATATCAAAAAGTCCATGCTATCTCCAACCTGCTTTACTATATCATTAAGTAATGTTGTGATGTCCACGGATAAACTGTTTGATTAGAGAAAAGCTACAATAACATGTCATAGGCATAGACACACCACCTTATATTTGCATCTGTGACAGGGTGAGTGTCCTGTCACTATATCCTGGTTGGTCAAGTGCCCTGGCTACCAGTGTTGCCGACTCAGCGACTTTGTCGCTGTTCCTAACGACTTTTTGACCCCCCTCAACGACTTTTTTTCCTAAAGTCGGGGCGACGGTGGCACAGGAGTTAAGTGCTCGCCCCGCAATCGGAAGGTTGCAGGTTCGAGCACCGCTCAGTCTGTCGCTGTCGTTGTGTCCTTGGGCAAGACACTTAACCCACGTTGTGTGCAGGTGGTGGTCGGAGGGACCGGTGGCGCTAGTGCTCGGCAGCCTCGCCTCTGTCAGTGCACCCCAGGGCAGCTGTGGCTACATCGTAGCTCATCCCCACCAGTGTGTGAATGTGTGTGTGAATGGGTGAATGACTGATTGTGTTGTAAAGCACCTTGGGGGGTTCCAGGACTCTAGAAGGCGCTATATCAAATACAGGCCATTTAATACTAGCCTGAGCTATTTCTAACGCTAGCTCAAGCTACTACTAACGCTAGAATTAGCTACTGTTAAAAATAGCCCAAGCTACTGCTAACACTAGCCTGAGCCACTGCTAATACAAGCCTGTGTCACTGCTGATGCTAGGCTGAGTTACTGCTAACACAAGCTCAAGCTACTGCTAACACTAGCCGGAGCCACTGCTAATGCTAGCCCTAGCTACTTCTAACACTAGCCCCAGCTACTTCTAACACTAGCCCGAGCCACTGCTAAGACTAGCCTGAGCTACTGCTAATGCCATTGAGCAAAACAACAAAGATGAATGTTGGAGCACAACTCACATTCCAGGGTGTACTGGGATGATCCAGACAATGAATGCCAGATAGATGTGGAGCTTATGGTCCTTATCCTCTTCCTCATACCTTGTTCATTCACATCCCTCACTTCACAACATGCCAGATAGTCACTTTTTCCAAACGCTCACTTTGTTCATCGTTCATCCACATCCCCGCTCAAATTTTTCACTAAAATAAAGTAAGAATCCTCTGATTTTTCTTCAAAGTGTTTCTGTGGTCAAGTGATTGATTTTACTAATACTTTTTAATGTTCGCTCTCTGCTGATCAAAACTTTTGTTGTAAATGACCTGATTTTAGATTTTAATCTTCAGTGTTTATTTTTAACTGAATCATGGCTGAGTTCAGATGCCTCTGTTGTTCTCACAGAGGCTCCCCCAGCTAATTTTAATTTCAATTTTTCAACGAGGAATGTTAAAAGGGGAGGCGGGACTGCTTTTGTAAGTTCATCAACACTTTTAGCAAAACCTGTTTTATTTGATAATTTTAACACTTTTGAATACACTGCAGCCGCTTTTGGCATTCCTCAGATTTTATGTGTCACTGTTTACAGGCCTCCTAGACAGAGTGTGCCTTTTATTCAAGAGTTTTCAGAGTTTTTATCAATTTTACACAACTCCTTTGATAGGATTATTTTAGCTGGAGATTTAAATCTGCACGTGGATAACCTTTTAGACCCTTCAGTCACAGATTTTTTAAACATCTTGAATTATATGGATTTTACCCAGAGCATATAGGAACTTGACTCCACAGAACAGCCTGACCAAGATTACACACACACATATAGACAGGACAGATACAGGCAGACCACAAGAGCAGCCATATTGGATGAACAATGCGAACATAAACATTGTTGTCTTTTCTGTTTTCAGGTGTTGGTCTAGTGGATGTGTTTGGCACCGACGGTCATGTTAACATCCCAGGTTGGAGCTCAGATCATTAAGGGGACCAGTAACCTTTATAGTTGATAGAACTTTAATTTAATTTTGTCTTTGATTCTGACAGGTCACATGACCCCACCAACTCACCTGGATGTCTCAGGTAAACATCCTTCTTCTTCACTATATTCAAACCAAATCAATCTTCTGAATCCTTTACAGATTCTTTCTAATCAGTGTTTGTGCATCCAGTGATTGGTTCTGGTGTGACAGCAGCTCCATCAGTGAAAAAAGATATCCTACACTCAACTGGAGGTACTGGCATTGCCTCCATAGGTAAACTGGTTCTGTTCAGCTTTTATTTCAGATTCCCAAAAATGATTAAACTGAAAATGTATTTGCTTTTTCCTAACGGGTTTCCTGGAACTGAAGATCATTACTCTGCCAGCAGCGTCGACCAATCAGGAGCAGGCGACACCTCGCTGACCTCAGGATCCGACCAATCACTGTCCAGCTCTTTGTCCGACTCCTCTTCTTCTGCAGGTTGGTGGATAAAAAATTTTTACTTTGAAATCCCTCCAATCCAGTTTAACTTTTGGCATTTCTCAAAGAAAAGTAAGAAAGTCTGTTTTTCTTCATCATGTACAGCATCGTCATCCTCATCTTCATCAGACAGTGCAGCTCACAGAGAGCACTCAGGTACACTCAGCGGCTCAGGTGTAGCTTTACTCATTACTTTAATTAATATTTATGATGTTTTAGTCCAAAAATGTGCTTACATTCTGACTGATGACAGTTTTTAATGGGAAAAATGCTGTTTCTGTCCTCACAGGTGGAGCAGATTCACTTGACACTATGGGTAAATTTGTTTTTGTCTTCTTCTAAAGGTGCTTCTTGGTTTAATGCATCCAAATATATGTAAATAACTGATAAATATGATTATTTTTTAGGAAATGGTAGACAAACTCACCTGACAGACACAAACAGAGGTAAATCTTCTGCTTCTGACACAAACCTGGTCCATAGTGTCAGATGAATGCATGCATGTGCAACGAATCACACATGAGAGACTTTGGAAACCATCAAGATTAGAGCACTTCATCCTAAATGAAGGATGAGGATTAGTTTTATTCAAGAATAGTAATAGTTTAGATATATTTTTCCTTTGTTTGTTTAAAAATCTTAAAGCATTGGGTTAGTTTTATCTTTTTAACCATATTTGTTTATTTCAGAAGCGGTGACATCAAGGACTGTTTCTATCAGCGAACCTCAGACTTTGCAAACGGATCTTCCAGGTACAGCAGTTAGAACATTTCGATACCACTTCAGTCAATCAATCAATCAATCAATCAAACTTTCTTTGTATATAAAAAATACAGCACAAAGTGCTTTACAGGTTAAAATCACCTCGTATAACCCATAATCCCATAATTTCCCCCAAAACATAAAAATAATTATGACAGTTGCACCCCCCACCCCCAAAGTCCCACAACCCATTTCCTAAGGAACCCGCACCCACACACACACGAACAATAAATACACACATAAAGCTTTAAATAAATAAATAAATAAAATATCATAAGTAAACACTAGGCCAAGTTCAGTTGAGTTAGGTAACGAATGACAAACCATCAGGTGAGCCATCTGCCTCAGTAGTAGTCGATCGACGGCAGCAGCAAAGGCACCAGCCCAGGGCTCCCAGGGAGGTAGGGTGAAAACCCCCACCGCCCAAGCACACCACGAGGTGCGCCCAGGCTGCCACAGTCAACCACCACCCCCGAGGTAGAGGGCCCCACAGAGGAAAACACTGGCACGATCAAATAAGTAAGATAAAAAATAATAAGAGCTAATATGAATAGTGAAATAACTAAGAAAATGATTAAAAGATAGTAAAAACACTAAGACATAAATGTCTAATAAAACTAAAATATAAATAATAAAATAAAAATAAAACAAGCAATGCAGCTAAAAACAGATATCAATTAAAAGCTATGGTAAAAAGGTGAGTCTTAAGCCTGCTCTTAAAAACATGAACATTCTCTATGGCCCTGAGGTCCTCTGGCAGCCTGTTCCAGAGACGAGGGCCATAAAATTGGAAGGACACCTCACCAAGGGTATGTGTCCTGACTTTTGGAATCACAAGGAGACGGCTGCCAGAGGAGCACAGAGGTCGCGAGGGTTCATAAGGTAAAAGCAGGTCCAAGACCATTAAGACACTTAAAAACCATTAAGAGAACCTTAAAATGGATCCTGAATCATACAAGGAGCCAATGCAGCGATACTAAAACTGGTGTAATGTGCTCCTGCCTCCTGGTCTTCATCAGGACACGTGCTGCTGAGTTTTGTGAAAGTTGTAAGCCTGAAATGCTTTTTTTGGGAAGACCAGAAAGCAGGGCATTGCAGTAATCAATTCTACTGGTGATAAAAGCATGCATCAGCGTCTCAGTATTGTCCTGAGAGAGGATGGGGCGGACTCTGGCAATATTCTTTAAATGATGAAAACCTATTTTAGTAATGTTTTCACAAATTAATAAATGGTTGCAAATTATTAATTCATCGATAAACACCCTATACAGCAGCGTAGCCAGAAACTGCTTTTCAGCCAAGCCTAATAAAAAATTCTAACCTCATTAGCTTTGCCCCTGATTCTATATATCATTAATAAGTGTTTATTTAGCATTAATCAAGGGTGAGGAAGAGACCAAACTGTCATGTTTCTTGCCAAATAGTGAGCCAAAGCTGTTCACCTATATTTAATCTAGCGTTGCTACATTAAAGCTGCTATAGCGAATCTACAGAACAAGCTAGGTTTTCAGTTCATATACGGTCACGAAACACTCATCCCTCGCCTCAGGTATCTTCCCTGAGACGCTTCTGCCGGAACCAAACCCATCCATGGTGCCGGATGAAACAAGATAGTACTAAACACCAGGTGCTGTTTTCTAGGTCCAAACGTCTTATGTTGTCTGTAACTTCAAATGGTGCTTTTCTTTTAGGATCTCTGGTAGTTTGTCCTGAAGTTTAATTTGTTCTAAAAAGAATAGAAAAAAAACAAAGAAAGAAAAATTATTATTAGTTTTCCAAATTTGCCATTGCATCTTCAAACATTTCAGACGTAACTATCATTCGAGCACAACAGGCATTTTTTTAAACATCACTGTATTAAAAGTGTCCACATTTATCAAAAGGAGCCTTATTGTAAAATATGACACTATTTATTAATGACAATTAACCAATAATAAATTCCAGTTTTATGCTAGAGAAGAACAGATTTGGCTCACTATTTGGCAAGCAACCTGTCAGGTTTTTTTTCTGTCTCGCCTTAATGTGTATAAAATAAACACTCATTAAAGTGATTATCATAAAGTGTTTACAGATTAATCAATACAGAGCAGCTAAAATGTTTTCTGGGACTTCCTTAAGGTGGTCGAATGCTCAACTGAGAGTTTAGGGAGCATCTCTGCAGGTCGCTTTTAGATCCTTCACTCTTTAGTTAAATTACATGATGATGATGATGATGATGATGATGATGATGATGATGATGATGATGTCATCACCAGGTGGACCAGAGTCAGTTACAGGTCAACACATTGATGTCACAGGTGAGATTAACTGATAGATCAGTAAAAATCTGCTAAATTATGTGTCACACTGAAAAAAGCTGACCATGTGTTCTGATCGGATCCAGCTTCAGGTCTCCAACTTGGACGTGATGTCACGGGTAAGACTTGTTGCTGCGGTAACACACATTAAGTCACATTGAGTTCCTGTTGACTTACTTCCCATCAAACGGTTTTGTGTTACAGAGCTGATGCCCATCTCTACTAACACAGATTCTGCAGACAGCATCACGAACACGCTGAGTCCAGGTACACCTGGCACACACCTGTTTATGTCTCACACACACACACACACACACGTTTGAATGATGTGTCTGACTCCTGTTTGTTTGTTTGTTTGTTTGTTTGTTTGTTTGTTTGTTTGTTTGTTTATTCAGTTTCAGGTGTTTATTCCCACACAGATCAGGTTACCATGGTACCAGCCTCCACAGGAACAGATACAGGTAAAGCCCACCTTTCTTCATGGCTGCCAATTGAATCAGAACGCAGGTAATAGGTCAAAGGTCAAAGGTCCAACATGTTATTAAACTGTGTGTGTTTTTAGTTCCAGCAGGTCCAACAGGAACCCCACTGGACTCCAGTAAGTTCTATTTCGTGTAAAATCGCTAAAGGATTTTTGGACTAGTGCTCGTGTATCTGGATACTTTACATAAGCTGTGATGTGTTTGGTCATAACCATGCAGCCATATTTATTATGTGTGCTTCCTCACAGGTCATCCTGCTGTAACAGATCATGCACAGATGGCTGGTAAGTTTTATATTTGCACACAAGCTTTCCTCTAAAACTAGTTTTAGCAAAAACGGGCTAAAACCAGGCTAAAGCCGTCATAAAACTACCAAAGAAAACAGATTCATCCATCTTCATCCATTTGTCCATTCATCTTCATCCATCTATTTACCTTCATATGTCCGTCTATCTTTTTCCATTCCTCATTTTTCTTCCATCCATCAACTTTCATTCATCTATCTTTTTCCCATTCATCCATCTTCATCTTCATCCTCCTCCATCATCCATATTTTTCTATTCAGTTCAATTCAGTTTATTTATACAGCACCAAATCACGACAGGAGTCGTCTCTAGGCACTTCACAAAGTAAACATTCTAACAGGGTTCAGTTCATTAAGCCAATCAGTTAAGTTTCCTATACAAGGAACCCAGCAGATTGCATCAAGTCACTGACTAGTGTCAGTGACTTTACAGCAATCCTCACACTAAGCAAGCATGTAGCGACTGTGGAGAGAAAAACTCCTTTTTAACAGGAAGAAACCTCCCGAGGATCCTGGCTCAGTATAAGCAGTCATTCGTCATTCATCCATCCATCTATCTTGCTTACAATGAAACACCGTTATCCATCCATCCCTCTATCTTCATCCATCCATCTACATCTACTCATCCAATCTTATGAAGGGAAATCCAGATATCCCTTTCTCCCTCAACTCTCCAGCTCCTCCTGAGGGACCTCAAGGCATTCCCAGGCCAGTTTTTATTCTTCCCTGTGGTCTCCTCCCAGTGGAAGATGCTTGGAAAACCTTCAGATGGTGGAACCAGGAAGTGGACTTGAAGTTTTTCACCCTGTCCCTTAGACTGAGCCAAGCAGAGGAGGCACATTTTAGCTTCTTGTATCTGGACTCTCATTGTTTGGATCATGATCCATATCTCAGAACCAGGAGTTCAGACTGGAATGTAGATGCCTTAGTAAATCTTCACCACCTCAGACAGAAGCTGCAGCCTCACAGCTGCAAACAAAGCCCTAACCCATCAGCCTGTGTGCTATAAATGGGTCTAAGAAGGTCAAAGCTAATGTTTCTAAATGAGCACTAGGTAAAAAGCTTAGGTTGTTTACATATCTGGGTGGCCTGGTATTTTTCCGGGCCAACCAAGGCTCATTCTCAGCCCTCTTCTCGAGGGGGTCTGCTTCAGGCCGACCAGGGCCAACACACCCACTGCTGACAGCAAATTCACACCTTCCATTAGAGCAAGCCTCTGATTGGTGGGCTTAAGACAAGGATGTGTGGAATCAACCGGGCCAGGCTGGGGCCGACTGGGGCTATCCGGCCCGGGCCGACCCGGTACAGATGGGAATGGCCCATTAAGGAACACAGGAGACACAGAAATGAGATGCAGACAAAGGACACATGAGGGTGCTATGAAACACAAAAGGAGAACCTGGAGTGGGAACTGGAGGGGCTGGGGAACAAAGGGACACAGAACATGACAAAAACATGATTGAACTGGACTACAAGTTAAAGTGTTAGATCTGGTTTAGTGGTTGAACTACATTTGCTGTTTTGTATCTGACCTGAGATCAGTTGCTGAAGGCTTGTTCTTTCTCTTTTCTTGGTTCTGCTTGCCCTCTGCAGGTTCAATCACTGAACAGTACAACCCATCTGGTCAGGGTCCTGAAGGTCAGTAACAGCTCACTCAGACCTCTGACCCCTGTTTAAAATCAGAACTCGTCTCTCTTTGACCTTTTACTTAACATTACTTGAGCAAACCCATGTTCTGATTGGTGTTTCTTCAGAAAACGTTGCTGTGCTGCTGTTATGACCTCCTTGTACCCACAGCGCTTGATCAAATTTCCCAAACAGGTCATCAGGACTCAACTTCTCATTATTGTGTTCTAATCGGACACTCCCTCGTAAAAATAACTCAAGAGGAAACTAAGTGATCTCCTTGTTTCATTTTAAAAATCTCCCAAACACTTTTTTATTTTAGACTAAAGGGAAAATAAATGTTTAGAAGCAAGAATAGCAATGTCACAGAAGCCTTTTGTTTAGCATTTCCAGTTGTTATTTTATTCTTACTGCCCTTTATTCTGAAGTAAGGCCATGTAAAACATAAATCTGCATATTACCTTCACTGTAAATACAAAGAAAATACAAATAGTTACATTGAAATCAGCAAGAAAGCCAAAAAAGATGTGATCCACACTAAATATAAACTGTAATTTACAATCAGCCAATGAATTGGAATGAAGTGATTGCTACATGTGTGTGAGAATTTTCCATCCAGGAGCCTGCCTGACAGCTTTGTTCCATCAGACAGCACTCGCCTGTCTAACGGAGAACAGCTCTTTGAAGTTTCGTTTAAGTTTAAACTTCAGAGTAACATGAATAATAAACGCTTGTTTTTTTTCTCAGGTGCAGAAAATGTGGAACTGGAGGATACCTGCTGACTTCCACAGCAAGCCACGCGTACGATTTCTGCGTTTTCGATTCCAGTGTACCGACCAATCAGCATGGCCCAGGAATGTTGACTCCTCCCACTAGCTGTAGGCCCCTCCCACCAAATGAGAACCACTCATTGGAAATTTTTTTTCTTTTGTAATATTTAAAAAATGTTGTTAATAGACTTTTATTTTATTTTAGAGAATTGTTGGGTCCGCTCCTTTTCCTGACCCCAGTATCGGCTAAGATGGACGACAAGAACAATTTATAAGATCAGTAAAGGTTTATTGCATCATTTAAAAAAGATAAACGTGGAAAAAAAAAAGTAATAAAAATAACAGCAATTACCTGCTGGTCAATGCACAACCTGGAATGCAACACATTTTATTGACTTTTTTTATTCATTTAAACCTGTGATCCTTGTGAATAAGTTCAGTTATAAATGTTCTGCAAACTCCGCCCACTTCACACACTAGTTTGCTCCAGTGTGTAAATGATGCAGACCCACTGAGATGGGGAGATAACTAACAAAATGAAGTTTCAGGTGAATCTCAGCCATCTGGTGATTCTGCTGTGATGACATCATTTTCATTGTAAATTGTGGTTTTGAACTTCTACAATAAATGCTCGTCTATTTTGAACATCAAACTATTTCTCTTTTGTTCTATCAGATCCAGATCTTTTCATGAATTTACACTTATAAAGATGAAATAATCACACGTGCAGCTGTTTAAAGATGTTTTATTGAACCAAACTTTAGCAAATCAAAAAACTCGGACCAACGTTGGTTTCTGACGACCCTCCTCTCACTGGCGTGTAGACAGCGGTCATTTGAGCTCACATTAAATAAATGGCTTTTCCTTGAGTAATTTCTTTGAATATAAATTGATAAACAAAATGTAGATGAAAGACTTTTACACTGCAGAACGTGTTTGTACAGCAGCTAACAAACCTGTGGGTTATCTGAAAAATGGGACAACTTTAGGACATCAGGAGTCTCCTTACTGTCGTAGAATAAAACTTGTGGAAGTTTGAAATGTGTTTCTGAAAAAAAATAATAATAGAGTAAAAACACATCCATGTTAACAGAGTAATACGTGCAAAAACTGTTATCAGACAACAGCAGCCTCCAGCTGCAGCAAACAAAGCAGACAGAATGTAGCTTTTCAGAGGAATAAAATCAGAAAACTTGGAAGTTTAAATTCTTCTTTGTTTAAATCAAAGTTGTCTTAAAATGTCTCATAAAACTGAAACACGACACCTGATGTCCTGAAGTGATTTTTGCGACAAACCTGTAGTTCTGAACACCTAACGTATCTACTGTTACACAGAAATGACCCAGAGTTCTGGTACAATATCTAGCATTTCTGGTGTCAGATGTGTGCACGTAGCTGCTGAAAATACAGCCAAATTCATGTTAGCACAGTTCCATTTATCTGATCAGCTCAAGCTTCGGTGACCTGGGTTTTGGAAGTTTCTCTCAGTTCTCCAGCTGTTAGAGCCGAGTCAAGGATATCGTCGGGAATCTGTCTCTTCCAAATCCAGCTAAAGCATCTGAGGAACACACAACTGAATGCGAGTAAGAAAAGCCCCGAAAACAGACTAAATCAATGCATTGCTATCTTCCGTTTCCATGGAAACTGGTATATCAGGAGGAGGATAAACACTTTGTAGTAAAACTTTTCAAAAATACTCGATTTCCTTCTTCATGTTTACATTTTACGAGTGAAAACAAAAAAATCAAACCTGATTTTGACATGCAGAGAAAAGCTGACCAGGGTCACATGACCCCGACTTCCGGGTTCTATGACATCATTCATACAGTGACCATCTTCAGATCTGCCCTGAACAGAACCACGGGGATACGTGTGACCCTGGCCCTCCAAGAGCTTCTGTAGCTTTTTTTTTTTTGTCTTTTGTTTTGAAACAAGCAACAAACAAAAGGTCAGACTGAGGCACTAAACACTAAATAAAGACTAAAATAAAAAAAAAGAATTAATATCAATCAATAACATTGGTGTGATAAAAACAAGACCTTTGACCTAATGACTGATCTACAACCGATCCCATTTCCTCATCATCTATTGCTGCCACAGCCGATGCTGAAAGTCCTGTTGCTATGGTTACTGAGAAGTCATTACATTCTCCAAGATATCAGAGGTTGGAGTCCAGTTGGGTCTGGCTCAGCAGGATATCAGCCGGGTTGTCGGTGGGCGTGTCAGAGCTGAACAAAGGCTCCGCCTCCAACTCCAGGAGCGATGGCAGGTCGCCCCCACCCTCCTCCAGGCTAAGTGGTTCAGTAACTTGAACAGGCGTGGCTGTGTAATGCACTAACTGCTTCCCTGTGCCAATTGGAGATGAAACAGCGTTACCATGACAACAGTCAATTTGGGGGGGTTTATTTAAATCTAGCTGAAGAATGGTTACCTGTGCTGCCTTCGCTTTCTTTAGGGGCCTCGTCAGACAGAAGCTAAAATAAAGAATTAGACTGGGGTCACATCAGGACAACTCGCCTCTACAGGTGGGCACGGTTAAAGTCAATTATACATTTATTACTACTCTGATTACCATAATAACAGTTTTACACACAATATGAAAGTAAAATTAACTCACATTATCCAGGCTATCGATGTCAAAGTCTCCAGAGGGACAGGAGGAGCTGAAAAACTAAATAAATGAAAAATAAAAACAGACTTTCAATTAAGATTCAGTTACACTTACAACAATTTGTGACTCCCGTAAACTCACTTCCATGAGCGGAGACGGATCAAAGGTGAAGGTCTGCGAGTTCAAAATATTCTGTAGATTTTCTAAGCCGTTGTCAATGCTGTCCACGTGGTCAGACAGTTCATACCTGGGGACAGGGACACGGAGGAAGGTGTGAGACGAATTAAACAGATGGGTGTTATTCTACATTTTTCATCCTGTCAACAAAAGATCCAAACAAAGAGTGTGTCTGTCTACGGTGGTCTTTGTTTCAGCATCTGTTTCCTTAAATCTCAGAATGAGGCGAATCTTTAAAGTGTGTCAGACATGAACAAGACTTTCAGGAAAATGGAGAAAAGTGCAGCAGCCAGTGGATCTGAACTCATAAAGAAGCTGTTTTCTGGATGTGATTCTATTAAAAACAGAAATTATTGAGCATTAGATGATATTTGATCAGGTTTTAGATGCACTAGCCAGTAAAATACACACTACTGGTCTGGTTTTTTTCACATGACAAGAGCAAAAAAATGTAGAACAACACTAAAGTTAACTAATTTCCTAAAAGTTTATCATCATAGACTTAACATAAAAGCAGACTGTAGCCTTCTAGATTTACACGATTGGAGGATAAAATTCTAAAGCTTTTTTGGGGCGAGACGTGTTGAAATTTAGAATTCTAGCTTTTAATAATTTAACTACATGGGGAAAAATATTAATTTATTGTCTTCATTTAAACTCCAATCAGACAGCAGCTGATAGAGGCCAACAGAAAGAACGATGGCTTCAATCCAAACTGAAAGGCCAAGTCCGTCTTTTACATCCAGTCTAAGATAATCGTTCAAAGATTCACTTGTCAGGAAGTTTGGATACGATGCGCCAAGCGTCAGGTGGGAGTCCACCTGCAGAGGATGGGAGGGGGAACCTAAAGGAAGCACAAGGATTCTCATAAAACATGTGACCTTTAACAGAACAACACGAACACTGGTGTTTAATGATGTCACTAAAGGTTGATTGGGCAGATTCAGCTGTAGAACAAGCTTTATCGATGCAGCAATGTGCAACAAGAACACGTGCGAGTTACTGGAGCGGGTTAGGTTGTGCTGCAGTGGCTGGAGTTTAGAAAACTTTTATTATTAGATTTTAATTTGGTAATTATTGGTGAACATTTGTTGAGAATCATGTATCAGCAAACATCAGATCTCTGACTGGACTCTTACCTGTCGAGACAGGCGATGGTTTGACATTTCTTCTGAGGTGTGGTGGAGCAGGGGGCAGCGTCTGAGCTGGAAACGGGGGTGGGGGACTGGATGGTAGGAGCTGGCGCAGGGGGCTCGGGGGAGGCAGGGCTCAGCACAACAGGACTGGCTACAGGGACACAGATTTAAGTTAAAATGAGATCTGAACGAAAACAACAACGGTGAAGCATTGATAAATAGATCTACCCGGCGTGGGGGTGGCTGTGGTGGAGACGGAGACCTGCGTTGGCTGAGTCTCGCTGTCCTGGAGGATGGAGTTGATGAAGGCAGTGGGGGACAAAGGCGTGTCTGCATTGGATGAAAGCGTGTCCTGTTCCACCTCCAGAATAGGAGACACCTCCAGAGCAGGAGATTCCTCCACCTCAGGACTAGATGGTTCCTCTTTGATAAAGGCTGACTGGTTCTCTCTGCAGGCATCAGACAGAGTTAGAACATTATAGCCCACCTTTTGCCTTAAGCAACCATTCAAGGTGGCTGATCTGACTGGTTCTCACTCAAGATCCGTCCAATCAGCAACTGCTTCTTCTGGGGTGGACGTGGCGACCTCTGTGATGTCAGAGATGACAGGCCCAGAGTTCAGCGGAGAGTCAGCTGAGAGGAGACCGGCTGCATTCTGGAGACACAGAACAGGCGTTTGTGTCTGAAACACTCACGGCTGAAGTTGAGAGTAGCATCATCCATTCTACCTGAATGTGCTCCAAGGTGAAAGGTCGGCTGTATTTGGGCATGGAGTGTGTAGAACTGGAATCATTAAGCATCAGAGGACTACGGCAAAGAAAAGAAAAACATGAAAATACACTGATGACTAGGGTTAAGCAGCACTAAAGTGTGTCACATCTGCAGAGTTAGGAATAAACTTGCATCTTCCGTTTGACTCCCATGATCCTGTTGGTCTGGACAAGAGACACCAGAAACTGGATCAACTGCAAAAAGACAAAGCTTATATTTAGTTGAGTTAGCAGCTACGCTAACGCTAACAGCAGGTTAATATATTTAAAGACGTTTTTTTACATTCACAGATGTACAGATTTATTTTGCTCGTTCAGCGAGCAGCAGCATCTTCTCTTGTGCACGAACACAAATGATTTTTTTACAGCTTTGATCCAACAGCAGGACCAGTTTGTGCTACGTCTGTCTGGGTGGATGCTTTTGTACCTTGTTGACAACTTTCTGCTGCTGCACGTGTTTTTGTCTCAGGCTGGCCACTTCCCTCCACAAAGCCTCGTTCTCACTAAAACAGATAGAAAAATAAGGTGAATGTTAATATTACAGGAAAAATCTCCTCCACTTAAACTTTTCTTTTGTTAGTTCAGCTTCCTACTGTTTCATGGAGAGGATCCTGGAGTCGATGGTTTCCTGTTTTCCCTTCATCAGATGGACGTCGTTTAAGATTTTGTTGACCTCGTCTGTAGAAATTTTCACTTCCTCTTGACGGACCGATGCGACCTGCACCGGATACAGAAAGGAGGAACCATTACCAAATATATCAGATGTGTCCATTCTAACTGCACGTGTTCACAAACGTAGGGAAAAGCAAGACAGTCAGAGCTCATAGCGTTATAGACAGCTGCTCCAAAGATTTATTACAGGACTCTGTGATTATTTTAGAAAGATTTCAATACAGAAAACAAGAAAAATGTAGAATTAAATCCAACTTCAGTGTCATTGAGAGGTAGTTTTTTGGGATTTGCGGGGAGTTTATCTGTACATTAAACAGTCTGTGCTTCTGGTTAGGATGGAGATGATCTTGAATGGATTTATTTGTAATTAAGTTTCTCTCTAAAATATTAATTATTGATAATTAATGTTGTCAAAATCCTTTTGATTTTTTCTTATTAACATTTAACCAAGTCAATCAGATTTTTAGCACCTAGACAAGACTTTACCTCTAGATTACTTTGAAAGAACTAATCTGTCAAAAAGCACCAGACGTTTGATCTGAGTGCTTCTGCGTTACCATACATTTGTGACTTTTCTTTTGATGTTCTCCAGCAGGTGTTCTTGTCCTCTGATGAAGAACGGGTGCTGGAACTCTGTGTCGTCTCTCTCGGGTTTCAGCAAACCACCCTGCTCAATGTGCACCACCTTACGGAAACCATCTGGACATCAGCAGAATAGAACAAAGCAGCAGCTGGTTAAATAAATGTTCCTGATTAGTCCTGAAACTATAATAAGAGACCGCTCAACTAGAGCTGGTTTAGTTGGTTGATGACAGCTGATACTCACACATATTGAGCTGTCGGATGAAGCTTGCCATGTTGTTGTGTTTGAAGAACTTTGGTAGAACCTCTTTAGAGAAGCGAGCCTGATCAAACACATGGAAGCTGGTTCCACTCTGATATACAGAACACAGAGCAATCAGTCGTGTCAACAGAGCAATAATAACAAACAATTTAAGATTCAGTAAACAGAATTTTACAAGAAAAAATACTAGATTTTGACATTTTAACACCCGTAAATTGTGAATAAACTTTTTACCATGTCGGCACGGTGGAGAGGAACTGCAGCTGTCTGCAGATCAGCTTACACCGTTGACTGCAGACTGTTGCCACGGTGATCTAAACTCAACTATTGTTGTGTGAATTAGAATCAGTAGGGAAATATTCCTGCAAAGCTTTTTGCAAATTAATGTTTTATTCAGTTTTATTTGGGAAATATTGCAGTTCTTCTCTGCTTTTGCATCTGTCCCATTTTTCATAAAACAAACGTGTTTGATAATTAGTTGGTTTCTACATGTTTAAACTTATGTCTGAATCTTATCCTCAATAGCTCAGACTTTATGCCCTTTAATTTTGTCTATAGTGATTTTATTTTTAATCAAAGTAAAAAATATTTTGTCTTCTTAAACTGTGAACTCTGGATATTTGAAGGCTTTTGAGCCTTGACAAGACTTTTGGTGACCAACGTATACATTTCTGAAAGTAATAATTCAAAATATATATTATAGTAGTAAGACAGAAGGCTTTAGTAAAATGAACATTTTATAATATAGTATAGTGTGCCTTGCTGAGAGGTGCTTTGTGTGTTTTTGTTACTTGAAGCTCTTATTTTGATGAGCCACAGCAGTGATTTCAGCTAAAGAGAAGAAATAAAAGCAAAGCGTTTCCAAACTCGGGCAAATAATCACAATTTCAATAGATATACATTTCAGCAAGTTTATTAGACAGAAACTATGATTCTAATGTGATCTTTAAGCTGGATGAGCATTTGTAGAGGATTTTAGAAACCCAGTCAGTTAACTCAACTAGCAACAATATCAATTGAAAATGTATTACTGAGGAATTAAAAACTTCTGCAAAAAAACAACAACAATACCATGTTTACGGTATGGTTTGACTGTTAACGTAAAAACTGTTGTATATGAATCCACATTAGAGTTCTTAGAAAACTTGTATCAGGTTTTACAAGTCAAACATAAAAATAGGCCTTGAGTAGGTAACATGAGGTCTATGTAAGTAAATTAACTTGGTTGCTCATTTTCACTGACATAACCAACAGCAGGTCAACACCTGGTCCCCAGTATACCTCAAATTTATAACACCAGCCGAACACGAGTAACTCTCTGAGGACCTGATGGCTAAATCCAGAGCGCCAGACAGTTCTAATGTTAGCCCGTCAGAAATCCACCTGCAGCTGTTACAGCTAACTTGTGATATTACATTTTATCAATATTACAAACTAACAAAAAAAACTAATGTATTTACTCGCTTTTTAAAAACATTCTCCCTGGAGTCTTCGCTCTGATAAGAATAACGTCTCAAGTGCTCTGCGAGTAATTAGCAGTTAGCTCTGCTAGGCTAGCCTAACATGAGTACCGGGCTCCAGCAGATAAGAGGGTCGGTCTCCGGGTCTTCTACCAGGGTCCACAGCTTCGTTAAGAAGGCTGGCACGTTTCCGCCGCTCACCACCACTCCTCCGGTCACTCCACCCCCTCCGAGATATTCCATTACAATAAAAGACGATAAACGTACACTAAACTCCTGAAGCTAATGTCAATGCTAAGTCGGTTAGCCTACTGTTAACCCCATCAACTCCTAACAGACACAAAAAAGCGAATAAACTACGACACTAAACCAGATTAGGGTTCGTGGAGCATCTCGAAAAGTTAACCCCGATCTGGAGTGGTATTAGTGTCGGCTAGTCCACAGACCAATGTTCTAACTTTACTCTAAACAAACTCCGTAGTGGAAAATTCCAACAAATCCGATAATACAAACAACTGCGTAGCTGGCTGAATGGCTGTCGCTCTTTCGCAGCGTCATGACATAACGTAAAGTGAACGTTCGGTCGCGGTGTGACGTAAAGCTATATCTGGATTGTTTTTAATTTGGAATGGAAATGGCAGGGTCAAAAGCAGAGAAATACACATTTAAAATAAATATAAACTTTGTGTTTTATTTTGCATGACATGTCATTTTTCTTAGCGATAGGTTGATGTTTTAATCCCAGGTGTTTTCATTTCAAATTTAAGTGTCCTTGGGCAAGGCATTGAACTCTGCCCTCGTGGTTGTAAATTCTAGATGAGTGCCTGTTTTGAAATTTTGTTAATTTTCAGGGGCCTGATCTTGAACCTGTGGTATTTTCACACCAGATGTTGCCATACATTTATGCCGTAAACCATTTATTTGCAATTAAATATTACCTTTTACGAGCCCATTTAACGGAAGTTACTCGACCTGCGCAGAGCGCGAGGACATCCACTCTGTTTACTGCCACTGGCAGTCAGGAGGGAACGAAACAGAACCAATTTTTGGTGACACGTTATCTTTATGTTTGCACATGGATGGAGACACTCACAAATTCGATTTAATCAACACATTCAGTCATTTTTAAGAACCTAATGATAATCTGTTTAAAGTAAAAATTATTGTTGCAGTCTGATGTTTTATTGTTGTTTTACAACATTGTTATGTTATATAAATTGATTTTGATCGACATTTGTTAACTTTTGCTTTTAATTCACATCATAAACTTCATTGCAATCATACAGAAATGTTGTTTTTGGTCAGTCTGACAATACAGTTGTTGGGCTTGTTTGTTTTCAAACAGTAGTGTTGTTGATATGTTATGTCATTAGTTGACCAATTTCAAGATTAAGGTTTTCTTTTTGTGCAAATTAAAGAAAATGTTTTCTGTGGTCAAATATGGCACAGGACAGAAACATAAACGCGTATATAATTAGGAATTTATCTCTCACAGGCTTTTGGGTATTTACACAAAATATTTGTTAAGAATTTAAGTGGGTAGTTTTTTTTGTGAACATCAATCACATTATATTGTAACAACAACCAAAACTCAACAACAACAAAAAAGAAAGAACAACTCAGTAGATAAACCAAAAACCTTTTAACTAGACCATTAGAAATATTCTAATCAGCAGAAACAACCGGATTTATAAGATTAACAAGACACAATAAAAAAATTATAATAAATATTATATTAATATTAATACTACTAATAATAATACAACAACAACAATAATAATAATAATAATAATAATAATAATACATATTCAAAGACAGAGGACCTTAGTTCACAGGATCTTCACTAAATCCGACAAGTGTAACAGCCTGTATAGTCTTTACCTTTTTAAGAGATTTGCAAAATAGAATAAAATTGTTTTGGAAAAAAGGAAAGTTTGGCTTCACTTTCATAAAACGGCATTTGTGGGAAAAAAATTCCAAAAAATTATCAAATTGTTAACAACGAATTGAATCTGATTATTTTTTTCTATACACCCAAATTGAATAGTACTATATGTGAATAAGGGGATATTGTAACTGGTTTTGAATAAAAGCCAATTGTATAAATCTGACCAAAATGTATTTACCGATTTGCAATCATAGAAAAGGTGTTTCTGAGTTTCAATTTCACTATTACATAAGACACATAAATTATCTTGTATATTAAATCTGATATTTAAAAATTCTTTACATGGATATATATTATTAATCGTTTTAAAGTGAACTTCCTTCATTTTGGGGAGAAGAGTATAAGAAAGAAACTCTGTTCTTATGACTTTGGTATCTTTAATTGAGAGAATCGGAGAAAGAATTTTCCTTCTGACAGGAATAGGGAAAAACTTGTCTGACAAGACTGCTCTTAGGTAAGAGTTATTACATTTACGGTCTGTAAAACTCAAATCACCTATAGATAATTTAGGAAGCTTAGGTGTACTTGTTCCACGTTGAATACTTTGACTGACCATCTGGCCAACAGCTGGAGAAATAGCCTTTATAACTCTAGAGTATTCCGTTACAGAACAGTCTATATTATACTTAATTTTGAACACAGTATGCTCCAGAAACTTACCCTTACTGTCCATCAGCTGCAATATCGCCCAAACTCCTTTATCCATCCAACTTTTATAATACATCGATTTCCGTTTATACAGAACAAATCTGTTATTCCATATAGAGGAGGAATGTGGGCTAAAGTTATGCGAGTAGATCATTTTCCAGTACATCAACACTTGTTTAATATAGTTAGAAAGTTTGATGGGTAATTTAAGAGGATCGAAATCACATTTTAACAGAAAATCCATACCTCCAATCTTCTCAAACAGAAATGAAGGAATACAGAACCAGATAGAATTTTTCTTAATTAAAATTTTTTTTAGCCATTGTAATTTAATAACTCCATTCATTACTTCAAAATCAATGACATTCCGACCTCCTTCTTCTATAGGTTTTACTAGATCGTTTTTCCTAATCAAATGTTGTTTATTATTCCAAATAAAGTCATATTGTGTTTTATTTATTCTCTTAACATATTGGTCAGGGATAGCTACTGAAAAAGCAGGATAGATTAAGCTAGATATACTCTCCGTTTTTGTTAAGAGTATTCTACCAAAACTGATATATTTCTTTGGAGCCAACTATTTAGAATCTTTTGATTTTTATTAATTATCGGTTGGATATTGTTATCCACTCTCTCCTTAAAGATTTTATTAATCTTCATACCCAAATACTTAATTTCATTCTTAATAGGGATATCGCAAATATGAAACTCCTCAGTATCATGAATTGTTAATATTTCACATTTGTTAGTGTTCAACCTTAAACCTGAGGCTTGTGAGAACAAAGACAGCGTTTTCATGACATTAGGAATTTCCTTGGTACTATTCAACAATAATGCAGCATCATCTGCTAGTTGAATTATTTTAAGCGAGTGTCCTGCCACTGTTAACGGTTTAATTGACTGGTCATTTTGAATTAGTAGAGTCAGCATTTCTGTTGCTATAATAAAAAGAAGTGGACTAATAGGATCTCCTTGTCTAACTCCTCTATTAACTGGAAATCTGGTTGTTGTACCCGAAGAAAGAAGAACTGCACTCGATAAATCTTTGTATAGGAATGTAATGTGATCCCTCGTTTATCGTGGTAGATGCGTTCCAGACCTGGCCGCGATAGGTGAAAATCCGCGAAGTAGTGACACCATATTTACAGTATTTGTTTAACAGGTACGTATTCAGTATTCAGACTTTTAAAACCCTCCCTTTACATAGTACTGTATTTTTACTTGTTTTTTTTTTATAGTTTTATTACAAAAAGTGCATTTTATGATGAAATTGATGAAAAAAACAGGAATTTCTTGATATTTTGCATAGAAAAATACCACGAATCGGTGAAAAATACCGCAAATCGGCGAATTTCCCTTGAATAAGGCTCCAAAGAAAAAATCCGCGAAGTCGTGAATCTGCGATAAACGAACCGCAAAGTAGCGAGGGATCACTGTAATATCAATGAATTTTTTACCAAATCCAAAGTGCTGAAGTGACTTTATAATAAAATGATGTTCGAGACTATCAAAAGCTTTAAAAAAAATCTAAGAACAGTATAGCGCCATCCTCTTCTACCAAATTTTCATAATCTATTAAATCAAGAATCAGAGGGATGTTGTCATGAATATGTCTATTTGGAAGAAAACCTGATTGAGTTTCACTAATGAAATCATTTATTCCATTTTTTAATCTGTTAGCCAGTGTATGAGTGAATAATTTATAGTCCACATTCAGCAATGTAATAGGTCTTAAGTTATCAATATTAGATTTATCTTTGTTGGGTTTAGGTGTCAGTATTATTACTCCTTGTTTCATCGAGTGAGTTATTCTGAATACATTCTTGTAAAACTTCAAATAGCAGCTCTCTAACATCTTTCCAAAAGTATTTATAAAAGTTTGTGGTTAGACCGTCCTGGCCAGGAGACTTACCCAGTGCTACCTTTTGAATCACCTTGTCAAGTTCAGAAATATTCAAATCCATATCACAATCTTCTATAAATTGTAAATTAATTTGAGGGATAAACCTTTCAATGTAGTTAAAGAATTTTACGGAATCTAATTCTTTAAAGTGAGAAGAGTATTATTGATGGTAAAAATTATAAATACTGACTGAAATTTCTCTTTGATCTTTAATTAACTTACCATTAATATTTAATGAATTTATCGCATTTTTTGTCTGTATTTTTCTCTAATTTCCTGAAGTATGAGCTATTCCTCTCTCCATCTTCTATCCATTTTGCCCTTGACCAAATGAGCGCTCCTTGAGCCTTATTTAAATAAAGCTCGTCCAGTTTTGATTGAAGTTTTAAATATTTCTCTCTATTCGTATCTGAAAGTGTACAATCTCCACAAAGTTTATTCAAATCCCTCAACAATTGTCTTTCTGTTTCTTTATTGTTTTTCCTCCTTTCTTTACCATAATTAATAGAATATTTTCTGACTTCGTATTTGAAGAATTCCCATTTCTTCCCCGCAGAATCAAGATGAGGATTTTCTATGACAGACAATAATAGTTTCTTAATCATTTTACAGTATTCCTCATCATTCAAAAATAACGCATTAAATTTCCAGTATCCGTTTCTACTTATATTTCCTGTCTTAGGAATTAAGTTAATAGAAACTACACAATGATCCGTAACAGGGGATGCCGATATTTCAGCAAGAGAGATATGGTCTAAAATATCTTGAGATACTAGCCATAAATCAATTCTTGACTTATTATTACCATTTGTACATATCCATGAAAATGGTCTAACACACGGGTTCATATGTCTCCAAGCGTCTGACAGCGAGTTGTTTACACAAAAACTTCTCGATGTTGGATTATAAACATGTGTAGAGAATTTAGTGGGATATCTATCCATCCATTCATCAGGAACACAGTTGAAGTCCCCTCCAACCAATATATTATCTGTTGGATATTTAACTTTAGATTCTCCAATAATTTTTGAAATTTCATTTAAGAATATTTTGTTT